GCAGCTGTATCTCTTTTAATGCTTTTCATTTTATAAATGTTGAAAGACCTACAAAGTATTTATAACAACCTATAGTAGCCTTTTCAATCATAAATGAAGAGTCAAAAATTGAATTGCTATTAGAAGCATGTGTAAACTATAGATAATAGAAATATACTTCAGAAATTGAAACTGACTTTGTTTCAGGTGTTATAAAGGAAAAATATATAGTTCTTGAAGGGAAACAGTATAACTAATGTTAGGAATAAAAATGCAGAAGTAGACATCAAATATTTGAAGTGGGATCACATTTTACATATTTTATTACGGTTAAAATCAGAAAATCTCTATCTTAATATTCAGAAATACTAGCACATGACATTGTAGATTCTTCTACAAAATTGACTAAATTAATCAAAACCTTTGCTTGTCCCCAGACCTGGACAAGGTGACCACTGGCACCTGCATCCCCACTGCTGTTGGCATTGCTGCCAGCACTCCATCTGTACATCTTCAGCACCTGTACCATAGCCCTCAGCACCCTGTGCAATGATAGTAGAAGGAAAGGGAAATAGAAGTGGAGTTGTGAGGAGCAGTAAATATGGCAGGTGATCACCACAGGGAAGGTGGGTCCCTGAAGGTAATTGCTGTATAAAAAGTCTGTATAAAAAGTCAGAAAGAAAGCCAAATTCTTTATCAATATAAAGAAGATGGATGGAATAAGAATAAAAGAGCGTAGACCATGAATAAATTTGGAATGTCTTTGAAAGAGTTGATAGAATTCTTTTTTTATTATTATTTCTTTTCTAAAACAAGACGTCATAAATTCAGGACCACTTAATAATGTCCTTTGTTATCCCTGACCATCCTAGAAAGACCTTTCCACTCTTGCTTCCTTTGATTCTTATGTCTTATGCACAAACTAACCTGTAGCTTAATTTTCAGTCACACCTGTGGGTTTCAGCTGTGGCTGACATCGTTTCTCTGAAACAGTATCCTCTTCTTTTTATTTCCAGCTTTCTTTTTGATCCTTTTCTACCTAGGTAATGTTTTGTGCTTTGGACTAATCCGCTACTTTATATTGTGTGAGCCTTGGTTTTTCATCAGGGTATAAAGAACTGTGGAATCTAGCCTGGTATTATTAAGAGGACTCATCTACAAGCCAAAAAAGACTTAGGGCATACCCATGTGATATTGGATTGATTAATTAAATAAATGTGTTTGTAAAAGATTAGACTTAATCTGTTTACATAAGAAGAGCTCAGTTATTTTGCATTTGGTAAATTTTCTCAAATTGAAAGTCATGTACAGAACTTACACCCCCATAAAATTCAATTACTAGTAAAATTATTATGTACGATGACAGGAGAGATGAATAAACTCTGTGGATTGTGGGTGGAAAAAATCTCTTTATGAGTTGTACTTAAGTACAAGCATTGAAATGAGCTGCCAGCTGTACCTTTTGATTCCCTATCCCTGGAGGTGTTCAAGACATGTTTGCATGTCATGCTGAGGGATTTATTTTAGTGATCGTTGGTGGTTAAACTAGTGATCTTGAAGGTTCTTCCAACTTATATGATCCAAGGTTTCTACCGCTTCTCTTCATGAAGTCACTGACTCTTAACATGAGAGTCATCTAAACAAGTGTGTAGATCTCACAGCTATCATTAATATTTCAGGCATGTTAGTTTAGCCACTGAATTGAGGCTAGATTCTAGTACCTGCTCTTGTTCAATATTGTAGATATCAGACAAACAGTGTGAATCTGTTCATGTGCTTCAGGTGGTGAATAAACTAACACACTGAATCAAATTAAATGATTATTAATTTATTATTTATTATTTATTATAAATAATAAATAATTTATTAAAAAACTCAATCAGGAAATCACAAGGTTTTTTAACTGATTGTTTGTTTGTTTTTTTTTCTATATTTGTTTTTGTCCAATACAATGTTAGCAAAAAGTCTAATAGAAAAAAGCATAGCTCTGTATTTGCACTAATACAACTATAGCTACAGCCAATACTGTAGAGAAACTAATCCTTCATAAGACTGACATAATATGATTTGCATGATGTTTCTCTAATCAATTCATATAATTCTATTCAGTATAGAAAATATTTGAATATCGAATGAAAATATATATAAATCCCGCTGACTTAATGCTGAATAAATATTAGCTTTTACAGTAGCACTGTTGCAGTGAATCATGGACTGGTGTTCTGGGATAGTATGCAAAAGATTTTGCCAAACAGATATTTATTTCTGATACATGTGGAATATTGTAAATGATTTTCTGTTTTATGATGACAGTAATATTACAATGCTTGTGGATTTGGGNNNNGGGGGAGTAGTATTTTTAGATTGCTGCATTTTTTCCATAGATACGCTATTATTGTCTTCTACAAGCTGTAAGAATTTACATGTAAAAGAGGACTTTTTTTATTATTACTTTCTAGATGCCCCAGGTTTCAGTTCTTTAAGCTTGAAATGCTGAACATGTGCATGATTTCAGATAAATTCTAAGACTGATCAGTCCATAGATCTGTGACTTTTCTCTACTTCATCGGTATGGACACCAAGAGCGATTCTATCGATCCTTATGTTTCCTCCTGTGTTAACTCTGGATGTCTCTAAAATACCTGTTATACTACAAAGTAGTACAAAAAAGGATAACTGAAAAAGTTTGTTGTAAGAAGAGGAAACGGTGTCCAAATCACAACAATTTCCAAATTGAATGTAGCACATCACTTGCTCGTTTTGATAATTTCAAAAGTTTGTTGCTTAGATTTTTCACTGAGTGACACAAGACAACCTTCATTACAAATTGACCATCTTTTAACTGAAATCACATTCTTTGTCATTGCATACCATTGTCAGTGGATGATGCTGGATGTTTTCTGACTGACGGATGCATTTTTTACATACTGAATATATCAGTAGCAATTGATTAAGTTTCCATTTAGGAATTTTATGTTTGTTTTGTAATTTATCCATTTCTGTCTTTTGTGGGGCTTTTTGTTTGTTTGTTGTTTTTCTTGGGGGGGGGGGGGGGGGGGGGGGGTTGGTGTTTTGTTTTTGATTCCTGGCATAATTCTTTCTTTTTATAATTCATACATAAAAGTAGGTGAGCAATAAAACATGCTGCTAATTGTAAAATTATGAGTTCTTTGGCTTTGAAGTCAATTATAGTGCATTTATCACAGTTGAGACAGACCTGAAGTTCCAGAGAGAAGTCAATGTGGTGTTCTGATATTTGCGGAGTTTTTGAAGAATGGCAGCATTACTTTCTGAGGGATGGGTCTTCATGCTTCAGTTAACAGTTAGCCTTAAGGAAATTTATTTAAACTTCCATTCCTTCAGGGAAAAACTGATTTGATTCAGAGTATATTTTTCAATCCACAATATGTAACAGTGTCATATGTCAGATATTTGTTTATGCATTATTTTCATGTAAATCAGAAACTGAAGTGTGTAATTAAGTAGATAAAATAATATACGAAATCATGAAGAAAAAAAATTTAATTATTTTTTTCTATAATTACTGGTAATTATGCTGTTCAAGAGCAGTGTTATTTTTTAGAATGAATAATGAAGGTTTGTGGTTCAAAACATGTTTTACTGTATTTGTAAGCAAAAATAAGACAAAAGGGCTAATTCAATGAACTAAGATAATTTCCTCCCGTTCATGTGTGTTTTTGTCTCCAGCTAAGTTGATACCTTCTCTGTCTCACAACTTATTTCTGGCTCTGTAAGAAACAGAATGGGTTATGGCTTTGCTTCATGTGTGCTGCTGTTGTGCTACGCTTGGTAGCATTGTATTTTTTATGGTCAATTTTTTTGCTTATTTTTAAAGCCTAAGATTCTTAGCTTAGGTGACTACTTGATTTCTTTACTTGTTCTGGATTTTCATATTCATCAGAAATAAGCTTAATATTTTTTATGCGGGTGAATAGATCAGTCACTGGTATAAGCATTATTTCAGGTACACATAAGGAAGAACCATAATATTTGAGGTAATCCTGCTTCTTGTGTTAGTCGATGTGTCAGTATACTGAAATAGTGGCCTGATAGAAGCACTTGCTTCCTCCAAGCATGTTAGACCTGTAAATACTTCTATAGGAGTTACTGATTGCTATGGTTACATTTCTGCTTGACACACATGCTCTGGTTATGCTTAGATTAGAGACCATGGGTCTTAACATCTATTTCTGACAAATGGAACCAAGGCTGCAGGGTGCGTACCAGCCAAACTTAATACCTATTTCCACAGTCATGGATGTGTAGCTGGAGAATACCTCTGTCCTGTATTAGAAACTGAGTTCCATCAAAGATATTATTTGAATACGCATTTTAAAAAGTTCTTCATGCAGTAGTGTGCTGTGTCTTTAATTAAATTCTGATGTTTTAATATGTGAGCTGCTGTACACATACATGTGTATATATGAAATCCATGCCTACATGTGTTCACTTCTGATTAGCAAATTTTTATACTTAATGAAGACAGTCACAAAAATCAAAACTATGCTTAAAATGGAAAAATGACTGTAATTTATCACCTGAAGCAGACAAAATGTAAACCCTATACAAAATATATGTGATGTATTAATTTATGTTATGTACTTATGTATGTATTCACGCACACGATTAATATATCTACATAAATACATTTCTCCCTGCTATTACTACTACTCTGTAGTAGCTTTCTAAAATGAGTTTGGAGAATTTATGTTCAGCTGGTATATAAAATCAGGTTGCCCATTGAATTGTTTCTTCAGGTTGTTCCATTGGACTTGCCTACTCTTTTATTTACTCTTTTACCTACTCCTTTACTGGTGTGGCTTTAACCCCAAGATAGTTTTCATTCCTTTTCAGAAATGTTCATACTGACTATCTTATAGATCAACAGAAATACTGATTTCATTAATGTGCTTTCCACAACTTCTGTGGTTTAAAGTAGCTATTATTTGTCACACTGACAGGTACACCTACTGCGAAATGCTGGTGATGAAGTTACCATTACTGTTCAGTACTTCAGGGAAGCTCCATCATTTTTAAAGCTCCCATTAGGTAAGAGACAATTAATGGATAAGAGTAATTTGTTTTCCTCTTTGTTTATTCTTATAAAACGATGGTACTAACAGAAATGATAATTCAATCCTTGTGTGTTTTACTGCAAGAAACAGGAAATTATTGTGTGGTTTACATTGTAAGAATCTAACGCATACTGCATAGGTAAACTACATCAATATAGGGTTTGTCAACCAGGATCTGTCTTTCATGTACCCATGCTGGCTAGGTCTGATCACCCACTTGTCCTGCGCATGCCTTCAAGATGATCAGCAGTTTGGTGCAGTTAGGGTCTCTCCTAAACACAGAAACAAGCAATTCATCCTTAAGTGCCAGTTAATGAGTATTCATGTCTAAACTCATGCCAAACTCAAAAGAGTAGAGCCACCAGAAAATATTACAAGAACTGCAGGCAGATGTTTCCCTGTTGTGATAACTTGTGTTTTCAGTAACCACAGTATGAGATACAGTAGGGAAGGGAGGAAGAGCTATAAAAAGGAAGCAAGGGAGGCAGATACTGCTCCCGATTATGTGCTTATGAGAAATAGTAATAACGCTGGTTAATGGAAAGAGACAGCATAGTTGCATTTGGAGTGAACACACTGTAGTGCTAAAACTGCCAGGGTAGCAGCTGGTTTGACTGAATGCTTAGAGATAGGGGCCCATGAGCTTGAGTCTTCTGGGATACCAGGAAAGGACAAGATACTTCAGATTTATGCATGTGTATACTTCAATATTGCCTGCACTGTGAGTTGGGATGCATTTTACTGCTCAGTAGAATTGCTGCTTAGCTTGTTATATGTGTCACCGATTCTTCATGACTGTAATTCCACCTTGTGCATGGGCTCATGAAATGGGGGTTCCACCACTTATTTATTCCCTTAAAGAAGACCTATATTCCATGATTTTCCAGACATTATTTGCTTATTTGCTTACCACTGGAATGAGTACTTACATCAAGTCATTTACCAATGATCATCTTGCTCATTGAACTTGGTTTCAGCCAGTATTGAATGGCTGAAGAGAACCAGGAGGGGAGGTAGTGAGATTTGTGCTGAGGTTCCAAGTCCAGTTCAGAAGAAGGGGCATTTCTTAAGTTCCTCAAATGTCTGATCATACTGAGTTCTGTTTTTGAATATTGTACTGCAGGCATGACATCACGGACCAGACTGAGCAGGGTAGTGTAATGTATCAGATTTGCTCATGCTCTGTGTAATGGAGGCAGGCCTAATAGATGCCCCAAATAGGCAGTTTGTATCCAATATATCTCTTTCAGTTAAGAAGCATTTTGTCTTTCTTGTACTTGTTGATAGCCTGTCTAAAATGACACTGAATTTCTTACTCTGAACAGGTTGAATAACAGTAATATGGGCAGATTCCAAATGGTTGACTACAGAACCTTTGAAAGAGGATGATGGTTTTTGTAAGGTGAAGGTTTCTGATTCAGGTGTTCAGCGATGTTACAGAATCACAGAATTGTTTGAAAGGGACTTTTAAAGTTCATCTTTTGACTTTCCCCACAAAGTCTGAAGACTGGCAATTTAACGGCACAAATATTTTTGATAGATTTTTTCAGCACCAGAGGTGCTAATAACCAATGTAATCCTCTCTTTTTGTTTGAAACCATTTCCCTTGTCCTATCACAGCAAGTGCTGCTAAGGAGCTCTTCAGTATCATTTAGCAATATTGATTGTAAGACAAATTGTAATGTCATAATGGATAAAGTCCTGCTGACTATCTGCTTTACAGTGATCTGCCAACCTATTTCATTTTGGAGGTTTTGTTTGTTTTTTACAGTTTTAGTGTAATTAATTGTCTAAATTGGGAAAAAAGTAAAATCTGTTGATGGGACTCTGAGGTAATAAGATCTTTAAAATATTTTTATGTCTATTAACTTTAAGGCTTTTAAACTGTAAATAAAATCCAGGTTTTATTAAATTAAGCAATAGAATCCCTAACTTTTTAAATCTCAGTCATTGTGTCAAAAAGAATTTAAAGGGTATATAAACAACTCCTACTTGTTCCACTGCAAATGAGCTCCTGCTTTAGGTTTCGCATTAGCTAACTTTTAATTTACTGAATCATCACGAGATCTGCAAAATCCACTGTGATCCTTAAGTTTCTTTCACTCACCTCTGAGTTCTGGCTTTTTTCTTGCCACCCTCAGGAGTCTCTCAGTTGCTTTTGTGAACTGCAAGTACGTGTTTCCCTGATGTCTCTCTTTGTGACCCCTTCTCATCTCACAGGGTTTTTCCTCTGAGCATTCTCATCTATTGCTTAGTTAAAAATCATTCTTCCTCACACTCAGAGGATCCTTCCTGACCTAGTTTTCTTAAAATAACAAAAATGACACAGCTAAGAAAAAATGTAAATTGCATAGATAAAGCATGTCATAGTGTAAGTTTGCATTTCTCATAGATTGACTGTCTAACTACAATCTGGATGGAATAAGAAGAGAGGAAGGTAATAATAGTGGTTGCTGAAACTTTCAAAACATACCATATACTTCTGACATCAGTACTTAGTGGGATACAGTAGTCACAGAGGGGGCGTTACCTATAGCAGATGGTTTGTTTTAAATAAACATTTTCTTTAGGTAGTCATGAACTAATTTTCCAGAGATTGGACTGATGCCTAGCACTTGATTTGAAGTCTCAGCTACTTGTGCAAGAGCTACAGTGGCAGATAGAGAAAAATTGCTTTTGTTTTTGTTATTTTTTCTGTTTGTTTGTTTGTTTTTTTTAATTGTGTGTATCATGTGTATGCATATCCTGTGTTTTCTTCAGAGGAGGAAAGACCACTTGATAGCTTTTGGGATGCCATGCTGGGCAGCAGTTAGAGCTCATTGGAGAGATGAGAGGACTGCATCTCTCATGAAAGCAGTTGAGCATAAATAGGAGAAACTTCCAAAATACAGTGTGAGGCCATGATAGAATAATCTATGAGTGAGTGGGGCAGAACAAGCAGAGAGCAGACTGAAAAATTTGAAGGTGACATAGCAATAGGACTAGAAGGAAGGGCCTCAAGTTGCACCAGGGAAGATTCAGGTTGGATATTAGGAAATATTTCTGCTCTGAAAGAGTGGGCAGGTACTGGAACAGGATGCCTAGGGGAATGGTAGAGTCACCATCCCTGAAAGTGTTTAAGAAACATTTAGATGTTGTACTGAGGGACATGGTTTAATGTGGAAGTATTGGTGATGGATGGATGGTTGGACAGGATAATCTTGGAGGTCTTTTCCAAGACCTTGGTGATTCTGTGATAGACTGAGAGAGGCTGTGTAGTTTGTTGAGACTCAGAAAACCAAGGAATGCTGCTGAACTGAAAAGCAAGTACATGCTGGGAGTAGCAAAAACTGTTGCCTCACCTTTTATTCTAAGCATTCCTATGCAATGGATGTCAGTTTTCTCTACTAAAAACATTTTCTAATATGATTCCCAACATTCAGACTGTTCTGTGGGGGAGTGTAATGACAATGTATTTATTTAAATGTTTTAATAAAAGAAAAAGGAAATCACTTTCTTTTACTGCCAGTCCCTGCGGTGATCTACAAATCTGAACATAGGTTTTTGTTGTTGTTGTTGTTGTTTGTTTGTGTGTGTGTGTGTGTGTGTGTGTGTGTGTGTGGTCTGCTGTAGGTGTATAGTACCAAAAAAATGTGTCTAGATACTGAAATTAGCACTTGGAGTAGACCTGTATAAGCTGAATTTGACAGTGCCTCCTGCTAGCATCATCTCAGGCAATAAAATAAGGACCACTAATAAATATACACCAAAGCTTTAAAGCTCACAGTATAATTTTGAGACCTCAGCACTGAACTGACAGAGAGTTGTTATGAAGAAGATGAGCTTTTGTTGAATTAATTTCCATTTTGCTAAATCTTTCAGATATGTGATATATATTTTAAAGGTATGTATGAAGATCTATATGTTCAGATGTATATGAAAATGTATGACTAGGAATAACTTTTTGACTCTAGTGATGTTAGACTTGACACATATTAATGTGAACTGATTTACAGGCAATTTCAGGTGACTTCTTCAGACAAAAATAATGTTTTCAGTGATGTTGAATATAATGCTGTAAAATTGATCTTCTGTGCTTTATTGGTAAGACAAAGTGCTTTCTGACTGTAGTTGTGTATTATTGGTGTTAATATTATACATTTAAGCGAAAATTATGCAATGATGTGCCTTCATGCTGTTTCTGTCATTATAAGTAAGTTGCTGCATACATTGCATTTCTAGAGTCTCATTAGTTGCTAAATAACTGCAGGATCACTATGCATAGCTGTCAAAGAAACATATCTCAAAGAATACAGCTGTGTTATATTAAATTACTACATAGTATGAGCATTACAAGATGACTATTTGCTTTTAATTTTAAGTTTGAGAAGGTGCATCATTCTTGAATGTAATAGGCATTTTAAGAAAAATAATATATCTGTTAGCAAAATGTACGTACATGTACAGTTAGTACTTGCCTGAGAGTTTACTGTCCATGATTATAGTCCAAGATGAGAATTTCAACACTGAATAGGAAATCTATTCATTAAATTAATGGAATTTGTGTAACTTAATTTGTTACTTAGTTTTGAATGTCTCAGTCTCAGGAGAAAAAAAAAAAAAAAAAGGTTTACTCCTTCAAACAGTTAAGCATTGAAGCAGTTTCCATGAGCATAGCCTCTATAAAATAACATTCAATTAGTTTTTTATTTTTGTTTCAGTGTGGTGATAGGTTTCCTACAACTGGAAAAAGTATTTCATGATATATACATATATTTTAACATGAGCAATTGTCTTTCATGATCTGATTTCCAGGTTCCCCTGGACCATCCAGTGATCACAGTAGTGGAGCTTCATCACCTCTCTTTGACAGTGGCTTACATTTAAATGGGAACTCAGCTAACACTGTAAGCAAATTAATGTTAAAAATATGGTATAAAATAAGTAAGTTCTGTCCCTCTTCTGAGTTAGAATGCTAATATAATGCTGTATGGCTATTCTGTTTTTTTAGTGGCTTTCTTTTGGTTGGTTGACGTTTTTTGTTTTATTTTCTTCTTTGTTGGTTGTATAATCTTTTATTTCAAGTGTAGATACTGGAAAATTGTGTACTTGTGAAGTGGTCAATACGGGGCCCTGAATGGTTAAGTCCTTACTCAGGCAACTGAGAAGCTTGTAAGAATGAGCACAGCAAGACCCTATAATTGTATGGGAATTAACACATGAAATCTAGACATATTTTGTTTAACTGCAGTATTGTGCTATGGAATTTAGTACAGCTAAAGATGCTGAAATGTACACAAAATTCAGAATAAAATATAAAGGTTGAATTCTTGAAGCAAAATTTTCATGATAGAAAAAAATGTGAGAAAAGGAAACAGAAATAAAAGGAAAAGCAAACATAGCAAAACAAAAGTTTTTTGTTTTTTTTTTTAATCCAGAGAATATGCAGTTCTTTTTCTGGAGCAAACAGTTGTTATTGAATTAAATGCATCGTTGTGCAAATAAAGTGTTCTTTTTTTCTGAGAAAGATAACTAGCTGTCAAAACCAAAGAAGATAGGATGTCTTAGCAGGTGACAGTGTTGCTTCTTAAAATGAAGATTGAAGATGTAAATAATAGCTGTATAGGAACAGCTGTTCCTGCTCTATACCTGTTTCACTCGTAACTAATTGCAGCTGTAGACTCTCCAGTAGTTGGATATTAAATTTTGCAGAAGGAATGCCAGTGAACAAAGTACAAGCTTCTCCTATGCTCTCTCTCCTTTTTTTTGTTCAGACATACCAGTTTCTGCTGCTTTTCCCAAGCTTTGCCTTTTTTTTAACCAATACTCTTGAGGCTATTTTTCATCTGATAAATATATAGAAAGATAACAGAAAATATTTAAGCCCCATTTTAATATCACCTGACTTTGAGTAGTCTGCTACATCATGTAAGCTTGTGTTGCAGTCATGTTCCTTCCAAATGGCAGTCAGATTCATGCTGTTTTAGAGAATGTGTATATTATAATGAATGGAAATGCTCTGCCGTGTATATATGTGAAGGATTTTAACTACAAAACAATGGCAAAAATACTGAAGAGATAAGTGCCTACCTATCCAAAATATTTTAGATTTCCAGGCCGGCTCTCTGCTAAATTGTGGGAGTCAAAGAGACATGGCCAACCTGCTTTTAGTGGTCTGTGGGGACAGGACAAGGGGAAATGGCCATAAACTGGAGCACAGGAAGTTCTGCACCAATATACAAAGGAACTTCTTCACAGTGAGGGTGACGGAGCACTGGAACAGGCTGTCCAAGGGGGTTGTATAGTCTCCTTCTCTGGAGATATTCAAGATCCATCTGGATGCCTACATGTGCAGCCTCTGCTGTAGGGAGTCTGCTTTGGCAGGGAGGCTGGACTCTATGCTCTCCAGAGGAGCCTTCCAACCCTTACAATTGTGTGATTCTGTGAAAATGAATATATGAATAGATAGATAGATAGATAAGTAAATAAATAAGAGGCCTGGGATAAAACAAATTCTTAAGACACTTTTGAATAGTAAGGAAGTTGCCATGTAAAGGAAGTAGCTTTTCACCTGTTTGAAAATCCCAGCTCCCCTGAATTGTGATATTCTGATTTTTCTTTTTTCTTCAGTTGTTTTGTTTCATTTGTTTAAATAAAAGCTTTGCTCTAAGAAAGATATTGCCTACTTCAGCACCAAGTACGGTTCATAAAAAAGAAAAAATACAGATGCTCAGCACCTGATGGAACCTATAGAATGCTAATTCTTCAATGTATATGCTAGTCCTTGCTTCAGAGTGAAAGAATGATACAGGTCAATCCCAAGCCAGTACAGGCCAAAAGGAAAGAGGATCCAAGCAAGGGCCCGGAGACTCTCTTGTAAAAGTAAAAGTAAAAGCTATACTTGATAGGTGCTTTAATGCAGTGAACAGACCGTTGAATTGAGATCAAGTTGTTGTTCTGTTTCACTTTTGCATGTTTCTGTAGTGCTTTCCAATTCAGTATAAAGATACTATTTGTCATTCTTAAGTTGTATTTTATTCTCCATTTTTTTGCAACCATTAGCTCACTTCAAAGAAGTTTCAAGATTTCAGATCAATACTTTTTCTGTTAGAAAAAGATACGAATAGACTCTGACAACTCACAATCTAAAAATCCACTATTTTATTACTGAGTATGAAAGCATTAAAACCTTAAATTGACTTCCAGTTCATAGTGCATTATTTGGTAATGTAAGAGCATAAAACATAATACATGAAGTAACTAGAAAAAGTAGGTAGCCTACAGACACAGTGCTAGTTACAGTCACAAAAGTAATCATTGCTATGTGTTCCACTTGCTGAACACAAAATGCTTAAAATAGGTAAACAGAGATAGTTACAGAAACATTTTGGATAGCTGGCATGGTGAGAACCCATATGAAATGAGGAAAACACACTGCAAATAATCATAATAATTTTTTCAATTAATAAAATTTGAAATGACCACCCCCTTTTCACATACAGGGAAAAATGATGTAAGTTTTCTATTTCTGATTATACCTCCCAAGGATCGTAGCTGTGGAAGCTGGAAAAAGGCTGTTTAGTACAGAGTAGGAAGTAATTTTATGGATCTGCTTATGAAATGATTTTGATGTTGAGTAAGTAAATTGTTTAATTGAGATTTAGATATTCAAAAGTGCTGTTTCTTTAATTCTGACTTTTACTATGACATTAATGAAAGGAATAAAAGGTATCTCCAAAAGTCTAATCTTTTAGTTGTATTGATCCACATTGTCATTGTTAATCCTTTCCATGGACTTATTTCCTTTACTATTTAATATCTGATTCAAGACAGTTGTTTCTTCTGCATAAGTAAAAGTCAAATATTGTTTTAGTGTTTTGTAGCTGTTGTTTGTTCCTCTTGTTTTTTTAAACTTAGAGCCTTAACAAAATGCAGTGAAACGTATAATGACACTGAAAAAGAAAGTTGTCCTAGGTGATAAATAAATGAATACTAAACAATATTTGCTGCTTTGTGACATCTAGTAGTAGTTCCAGAAATGTTCCAATAAAACATTGAATGTTAATCTGTTATTCACACAGTTTAAGAAGGCTTAAAATTTTTAAGCGTGGATGGCCTAAATTCAATTTTTTTTTTCCACTGGAAAATAAATCAAAGACCAAGAAAGGTCAGATAAAGGGTTCTGGCTTTGTTGTTTATCTTTCAGGAAAAAGAAATGTAAATAATGTGCCAAGTAAAAAAGCAGCAACTGCTTAATATTGGGCTCCATTTTTTGATTTTACATACTTTCCCACATGCTGCCCTCTCTTGTGAATCATAATTTCTTCTATTTCTTACGATTTTTTTTCATTTTTTCTCTTCAGCAACAGCAAAAAGAGAGATAAAAAGGAGATAAAGAGATACAATTTCTGGTAGAAATTGGATCGTTGTGCTTTTTTTTTTTTTTTTTTTTTTAATTTCACTTCTGATTAAAATATTTGGATTACCTTGCTTACTTGATGAGATGTAGAGAGTAGCTTATATTACCAGTCACCAGGAAGCTGCTTTAGGGAGAGTTGGATTGCTCAGTATATTTCTCTGAATGCTTTGAGTACCCTTTATTTGCATAGCTAGATAAAGAAGTTTGAGGGGACAATTTTTATTGTTATAAGCAATACTCTTCTGTTTGGCCTATTATGTTCAGAAATGCAGAATGTGAACAATGTATGAATTAATATTTATTTATTTGTACAAAACCACGTTTTTTTCCCTCATTAGCTGTTCTACTTAGGACTATAAAGGTACAAAGTAGGCTGCTGAAGGGCAAAGCTAGATTATCAAAGGAAGTTAGAAATCCATTGCATGATTAAGCAGAATTATTACTATTTATCACTTGTTGGCAATATGGTTAACAGAAAAAAACAGTAATCTTTCGGATATACTAGCAGGCAGTATTGGAAGTCATTGGCTAGAAGGAATTAGTAATATGTGGGAGCATTCATGAGATTGACAACTACGTAAATAATCTGATGTTTTAGAAATGAAAGTAAGCATTATTATTGTGATTATCTGCAGAAAAATGACCTGTATCAAGTTGTTGTTAGCACAGATGAACTCTAGCAGTTCAGATATGTGTAAAAGGCTTATAATTAAAAAAAAAAAAACACAATGAAATCAAGCCAGTGGGTCCTTCACAAAGTTCTACTCATTGTCACTCCACAAGTTCATACAACAAATTTATATTTACTGAGTTCCTAGTCAGTAATAAGAGTAAAAGACAAGCTTCAAATTCATCCAGAAGGGTAGTCAAAGTATGTTAAGTCCAAAAAATTTCCCTAACCAGAAGCCACTTTTTCTAAGCAAGGACAGCACACCCCATTTTGGGATCTGTAACTTTGCCAAAAGTTGTCTGTAGCAGCCGAAAATTGTGTACACCTCTGTTTATAAAGTAATAGCGCAATAATCTCAACATTACATTCTGTTCTGTTTGTTATATTCTTTAATGTGGTGTTTTGATTTCTGAGTTCTGTTGTTTTTTTGAGAAGAGTCATAATTACTTTCTGCTTTTGTGCTGAGATTTAAAATAAACTGAGCAAAACAAATTATAGCAAAAGGCATAATAGTCCTTAGGTATTCTTGAAAAATACCTTAGCCAGGTTTGTGCCTTATTGGCTCATTAAAAAAAAAATAGCAACAGCTAGCACCACAGCTGTAATGAAATATGCATTTATTTTTCCATTGTAAATCACTTCTAGAGAAATTTATATAATTGCAAGATTTTTAATTTGTTGCTCACCAGCAGAATAATAATCCCAGTCATTGAAATGCCTAGCTATTGCAGTGAGTAGAGGAGTGTAGATTCCTTAACACGTATACAGACTCTCCATGTAAACACCACATATAAGTGCTAGATGTCTGCAAATCCATC